AAATCTATCTATCCATACACTCTTAAAAATAAAGGTTCTTTATTGACATCTATAGTTCCATATGAAGAACTGTTAACATCCATAGAACTTTTCCGATGGACAAAAGGTTCCTACAGTGGAAAAAGGTTTTTTAGATTAAACTGTTCTTTGTACTAAGAAATGTTAAGAACTGTTCACTTATAAGTTCACTGGGGAATCAAAAATAGTTCTCCTATGGCATGGCTGTGAAAAAAACCTTTTGGAACCTTTATTTTTAAGATTGTAACTAGGGTTGCAAAACTGGATAGTTTCTGGAAGTTTACCAGAAAGTTTCCGTCCCTTTGCAACCCTAGTAGCAAAGTTTATAATATATTTGGCATGTGACATCACCTTCTCGGGTTCTGCTCATTACCCTGATCTCCTTTATGTTTGATCATCTTATAATGCCCAATGGCCAAAGGGGGGCGCATTATCTTCATCCCAGAGAGACGGACTCTAAAGACAAAACCACAGGGCAAGTAGAAATAGTAACATATAAGAAAAAAAAAACCCTGAAGAAGGATGGTATGAATGATCAAACAGACAGAGACAAAAGAAAGAGCAGCACAAAGTATTTCCAGCAGAGTCCGCAAGGTGGGCCAGATGAATGTGAACTAGCTAAAAAACCTACTGTTGTTGAGGATTTTTATGTAAAAAAGTTCTAACCACAACTGAAAATCCTCAAAAGGTTAATCTAAAATTGGAGAGTCTAATCCAGCTTTTAAATACTTAAAACTTTTGGGCTCTTGCCTATGGTTCAGCTATCTGAGTCAGACAAGGATACTGACGGTTAATTATGCGACAGTCAGGTTTACAAATCACCATGAGCTGATATGCCCTTCAAAATGTTCTTCAAGAATACATGTAATGTCAGTTTTCCCAAGCCGGGTCCACTAAAAATACTTTTCTTCTGGGACTAGATTTGTTCTTTATCGTACCCTGAAAAATCGCTTGGGGTGAAATCAAACCATGTAGGCATATTAAACAGCAAGAAAGTAAAGAAAAAACAGTGATGGACTAAGAGGTGCTGCCTTGTCAAAGATGTTGAGCAGGTTGGGATTTAGTTCTTACTCAAAAATAGCCAATTACATTACAGCAAATTACATTTGGTTCCATTAATGGTTCATGAGCGTGTACGAAGACATTTTGAGAGTCAATCAGAATCATGCACTACTACTGAATCTATAGCGTGAAACAGACAGTGCGAAAAGTATAGATAGGTTTCAGAATGAATGAATCTCATGAGCCAGATGTTTGTAGTTGAAACAAAACTATTTAGCATGACTAGTGTAGTCCATCGATTCTTGACCAAATGGTTCAATTATGAATTATTTTGGTCTCAACCAAATGATTCCACTATGAATCATTTACTGAATCAAATACATTTAGGCAACCACTGTAGTCTGATTCACAAACAAATTAGCTCTTTTTTGTGAATATAACACAAGCTTAATGTAGTTAATGACTGGTTGTTCATATGACAACATGTAGTTAAACATACATACTATGGGTTTTGTCAGCAGTACTTTATAAAAAAATAAAAAAAAGAAATAACGGTGGAATTAAATATGCCACATTTCCTCAAAAATAGCCAATTACATTACAGCAAATTACATTTGGTTCCATTAATGGTTCATGAGCGTGTACGAAGACATTTTGAGAGTCAATCAGAATCATGCACTACTACTGAATCTATAGCGTGAAACAGACAGTGCGAAAAGTATAGATAGGTTTCAGAATGAATGAATCTCATGAGCCAGATGTTTGTAGTTGAAACAAAACTATTTAGCATGACCAGTGTAGTCCATCGATTCTTGACCAAATGGTTCAATTATGAATTATTTTGGTCTCAACCAAATTATTCCACTATGAATCATTTACTGAATCAAATACATTTAGGCAACCACTGTAGTCTGATTCACAAACAAATTAGCTATTTTTTGTGAATATAACACAAGCTTAATGTAGTTAATGACTGGTTGTTCATATGACAACATGTAGTTAAACATACATACTATGGGTTTTGTCAGCAGTACTTTATAAAAAAAATAGAAATAACAGTGGAATTAAATATGCCACATTTTTTTTCATCTTAAACCGCATAAACACATTTCATTACACCAAATACACAAAATACTGTTCTTTTTAGCAGCATCATATGACCCCTTTAAAATGACCTCATCATGGATTTTCTCAAATACAGCTTCCTCTAAAAGAATCATTAATGCAACTGCTAACCATATTCGCTAGATTCCTCATGATGCCCAATCCTATTCATGCCAAAGTCACTTAAAGGGGTCATGAACTGAGAAACCAAAATTCCCTTGATCTTTTGACATGTAAGAAGTCATTGAACTATAAAAACATCCTGTACGTTTTCAAGAACTCAAAACTTTATCGTTAGTCTAAAATCAGCTTACACTGAAGCCAATCTGCCAATACGAGCACTTTATGATGTAATAGTGTGGCTAAACATCGCCTCCGCAGAAGAACAACACCTGCTTCTACATCACTGCCTGTTTAGCCCCGCCCACCAATTCACGCACGTAGTAGGTATGACAAGAGTGACAAACGCAGGTCTACACAGGAACCAAACGATAAACTTCATTTGATTAACTTTATTTTTAATGAAGTTCCAGACCGCATCAGTAACAACTTGGTCCTTTGTTCACTTCATTTTATCACAGATTAATTTACAGACAAGGCACAATTCGACGCAGGATTCTCAGAAAGATTGAAACGCGATGCTGTGCTGACTATATTGGATCCGACAGTAATGTTCTGCCACACAAGTGTGAGTAACTGTTTTTATTACTAATGCTTTGTCTGTTATTATAGATCATTTGATATATACTGAGTATTTATGCATTTTTGAGCTAAATCACAGCAGCATCCATCTATAAGGACTGTCACTGTCAAACATACACATCTGTTAGCCAATCATAGCAGTGGGTGTTTACTTCCGAGACTACAATCCGCCACGCCTATTCAAACAGAGCGTTCTGATGAGGGGGGTCAAAACAGGACAGAAAATAGCCTATTACTTCTAAATCTTGACAACATTATAAGTGGGCCTCAGAGAACAGTACAAAATAAAAAACAAAGGCAATTCATGACCTCTTTAAGAGAGAACTAACCATAAAGAAAATGCTATTCAAATCCTCAACACTACTAGTAATCCACTACACCTGACTAATTCTGGTTTCAAGGCTTCAACAACTTTTAATCTTCTACAGCAAGTTTCTTTGTCACAGAAATAAAATTACTTAAAATGTATTATTGAATAAAGAGGCAGTAATCACTGAAGTGTAGAGACATCTATATAGTTGGAAGCCTTGAGTCCAATCTAGTGATTCATGCATGTACTTACTGGTCCCTCCTGTGGCTATGCGGGGGAGGGCATGAGGGATAGACGGATGCAGTGAAAATGAGAATAATGACAAGAGACCAATGCGAATGTGAAATGAGAACAAAATGGTGATGGAGAGATGACAGACGTGCAACACAAATGCTTAACAGGATGCATTTCTGATGTAGACGTGCCAGTTACTTTATTCTCTACTACATTCCAGGCTGTTTTATGTTGTAATAACACATGCAAATGCATTATAAACTGAATTCTGCTATCCTCACCGAGCTGCGATGTCATCGTCCTCTCCTCCCCAGCCCCAGTACTGGTTAGGAAAGCCGTTCATTTTGAGGTACTGCTCCGGGGTTACAGCAGACACCCCTCCGAAGTACTGCGAGTATGGAAGCCTGCGAAGGAAGGAGTCAGAGCAGTGATTTGGTGAGGCACAGAGGAATAAGGTCATCTGTCTCTACTAGCCTTCATCAATTATTCCATCTGAAGTGTCACAGCTTCCCCTGCAGTTTAATGTTCGTCTGTACCTCTGCATCACATCATTACAGCAATCTGTAAAGATGGATAAAAAACCGGGACCCCTTAAAAATGAACAAAAAATGCTGTTTAAATCTGTGTCATAATTTAAAGGGGTCATATGATGCGATTTCAAAATTTCCTTTCTCTTTGGAGTGTTACAAGCTCTTGGTGAAAAAAGATCTGTAAAGTTGCAAAGACTAAAATCTCAAATCCAAAGAGATATTCTTTATAAAAGTTAAGAGTCAACCACGCCTACCTAAAACGGCTCGTTCTAACACGCCACATGTCTACGTCACGATGTGGGAAGATTTGCATAACACCGCCCAAATGTTCACGCAATGAAAGAGTATATGCAGCGCGATACGCATTATAGATCATTTGATATATACTGAGTATTTATGCATTTTTGAGCTAAATCACAGCAGCATCCATCTATAAGGACTGTCACTGTCAAACATACACATCTGTTAGCCAATCATAGCAGTGGGTGTTTACTTCCGAGACTACAATCCGCCACGCCTATTCAAACAGAGCGTTCTGATGAGGGGGGTCAAAACAGGACAGAAAATAGCCTATTACTTCTAAATCTTGACAACATTATAAGTGGGCCTCAGAGAACAGTACAAAATAAAAAACAAAGGCAATTCATGACCTCTTTAAGAGAGAACTAACCATAAAGAAAATGCTATTCAAATCCTCAACACTACTAGTAATCCACTACACCTGACTAATTCTGGTTTCAAGGCTTCAACAACTTTTAATCTTCTACAGTAAGTTTCTTTGTCACAGAAATAAAATTACTTAAAATGTATTATTGAATAAAGAGGCAGTAATCACTGAAGTGTAGAGACATCTATATAGTTGGAAGCCTTGAGTCCAATCTAGTGATTCATGCATGTACTTACTGGTCCCTCCTGTGGCTATGCGGGGGAGGGCATGAGGGATAGACGGATGCAGTGAAAATGAGAATAATGACAAGAGACCAATGCGAATGTGAAATGAGAACAAAATGGTGATGGAGAGATGACAGACGTGCAACACAAATGCTTAACAGGATGCATTTCTGATGTAGACGTGCCAGTTACTTTATTCTCTACTACATTCCAGGCTGTTTTATGTTGTAATAACACATGCAAATGCATTATAAACTGAATTCTGCTATCCTCACCGAGCTGCGATGTCATCGTCCTCTCCTCCCCAGCCCCAGTACTGGTTAGGAAAGCCGTTCATTTTGAGGTACTGCTCCGGGGTTACAGCAGACACCCCTCCGAAGTACTGCGAGTATGGAAGCCTGCGAAGGAAGGAGTCAGAGCAGTGATTTGGTGAGGCACAGAGGAATAAGGTCATCTGTCTCTACTAGCCTTCATCAATTATTCCATCTGAAGTGTCACAGCTTCCCCTGCAGTTTAATGTTCGTCTGTACCTCTGCATCACATCATTACAGCAATCTGTAAAGATGGATAAAAAACCGGGACCCCTTAAAAATGAACAAAAAATGCTGTTTAAATCTGTGTCATAATTTAAAGGGGTCATATGATGCGATTTCAAAATTTCCTTTCTCTTTGGAGTGTTACAAGCTCTTGGTGAAAAAAGATCTGTAAAGTTGCAAAGACTAAAATCTCAAATCCAAAGAGATATTCTTTATAAAAGTTAAGAGTCAACCACGCCTACCTAAAACGGCTCGTTCTAACACGCCACATGTCTACGTCACGATGTGGGAAGATTTGCATAACACCGCCCAAATGTTCACGCAATGAAAGAGTATATGCAGCGCGATACGCAACGCAACGTGTAAAAAAACAGTAGAAGTCATTATAATCAGTAATTATGTCCCCACTGGATGCAACGAATGCCTCGTTTATAATGGGTATTAATGTTTTTGTCTCGTCGCTTCGGCCGGACAGGGCATCACAATATGGTAGGGGCATAACATTTCCATCATACGCTTGAGGTATTCGGCCAATCACAACGCACTGGATAGCTGGCTAATCAAAGCACACCTTGCTTTTCAGACCGATGAGCTTTGTAAAAATCTACGTGTTTCAGAAAGGCGGGGCATAGAGGAGAAACAATAATGTACAGTATGTGGAAAATAATGTGTTTTTTGAACCTTCAACCGCATAAACACATTGCATTACACCAAATAATGTTATTTTTAGCAACATCATATGACCCCTTTAATAATAACTATTTTCAGAACACTACCACACTAATATTTCTAAAGTATGTACACATTTTTTCTATGCACTGAATAATCATATGACCTGCTACAATTGGCTAAATGTGCAGTATACAGAAAACTGGGTGCAAATCATAATACATTCATCTTTTTCAAAAGGCTGCCAAATGTTAATGGGTTTTTGCATAAACGTGGACAAAAAGTAAAATGTAAAGTTTTATTAGATTTCAAAAATTAAACATGGAACATGACGAAATCATGTGATAGCCATACATATTGTGTATATCACTGTATTTTCATGTGATCTTTGAGTAAATCTGGGGAAAAAAGGACAGGAAAAGCAACTAATGTGAGTGTTGAGCGGTATATGCATGACTGTTCAAATGTTTGGGGTTGGAATGATTTTTAATGTTTTTTTGTAAGAAATCTCTCATGCTCACCAAGGCTGCATTTATTTGATCAAAAATACAGTACAAATAGTAATATTATGTACAATTGTATATAACTGTTTTTTAATATATTTTAAAATAGAATTTACTATGTATGGTGGTAAAGCTTTTTTTCAGTCTTCTAGTCTTCAGAGTCACACGATCCTTCAGAAATCATTCTGATTTGCTAATTTGATGTTCAGTCCTTATTATTATGAATGTTGTGCTGCTTAAAATGTTTGTGAAAACCGTGAACCATCAACATTTTTCATGATCATAATACCAAATAAATGATGAACAGAAAGTTGAATAGAACAGAAATTATTTGAAATAGAACTCTTTTGTAACATTGTTTTTACTCAATTTAATCCATTGCTGAATAAAGGTATTCACTGATTTAAATAATAATAATAATAATAATAATAATAAAATAAAACTAATAAAAAAGAGCTGTAATTTAACTGTGATTGCTTATTGAACCTGCCCTCCAGAGATTCCTTGTACTCCTAACACCTGTTCTAAATTCTTTAGTACTGTTCAGTAAATATTGAGTAATAGCTAGATGAGCTGCTGCTATGTATCTTTCTTCATTATTTTCTCTGTATTTCTACCCAAGGACTAACTCTCTGAGTCGTGTCTGAATGCTTTACAGCCTTCAGCGGATTCATCACAGAGAGGTCCTGATGTTGTCCTCAGCCTTGGTGGACTGAATATATGACTTGTTTTCTCTGCAATGTTTCTGTTCTCAGTGAATGTTTGTATCTAGGTGGACATTGTGGCTGCAGAATACAGAAATGCAGACTCTGTGACCCGAGATGTGCAGACCTGGATGTCAATTTAGAGGGCCAGAGCCATGAGTTACTGCATATACCTGTGTCAGCACTAATAATGAATGAACTACATCCCCTATTTTACCATGCGTGAAGAGGATGAACTTTTTGTTTCTAGAAGTTTTATAAGATCTAGAAAACTGTTGTTAAATGAACAGTTTCGTTTATTTTTCTTTTTAAATGGCCTGTTTTGAATTAAAGTGTGTAGAATTTAATTGAAAAATTGACCACTAATTTATTTTAAAAATATTTATCTTTCACTACGATTATGAAATTCGTTGCCAACTCTTTTAGTAATCGATTTTTATCGATTTAATCGATTCGTTGTTGCAGCCCTACTACCATCCAAAATTAAATTAAACAAAAGTGATAGTAAAGGCATTTTAATGTAACAAATAAATTGAATTGTTTTGAAACTTCTATTCATCAAAGAATCCTGAAAAAAAATCAGTTTGCACAAAAATATAAAGCATTTTTTTGTCACTGAAGACTGCAGTGGCTGCTGAAAATGTTGCTTTGTCATCAGAGGAATAAATTACATTTTAAAATATATTAAAATATAAAACATTATTTTGTAATATTATATTATATTTGAACCAATCTTAAACTTTTGAACTGTAGTGTATACTGGCATCTAACCTGGATTTTATTCAACTACACAACATTTTTTTTAATCATTATATTATCATGCTGTAATATGAAAAATTATTATTATAATAATAACTATATTAAAACTATTACAGTTATATTGAAGTGACTACAAACATAAAAATGCATTTAAAAATGTCATTAGGTTTCTCCCCTGTTCATTAAGATAATATCAGAGAAAAGCTTTGTTAAAACATTAAATCCTGTGATAGTGGGTAGGGTACCTGTATCTGAACTTGTCCATAGCTATGGAGAGGTGTGTAGGGTACTGGGGGTGGCAGGTGTAGGTATTGTGGTCATTCTCAGGCAGCAGGTCGACGTCATGCAGGAAAATACAGCTCCAGTCCTCCTCTTTCAGCGCCTCCCGCACTCCAACATTCAGCAACTTCGCTCGGTTAAACGTGGAGTTCCCTGACTGATAACACAGACTATGAGCAAATCAAGTGTACACAAATGCATTTTTCGGCAAGAATAGAACACTAATATAGCTTGACAATAAGCTATGAGCTATGTTTACCCTTTCTCCCAGCTACTTCCTCTAATTACTGCTAGGATTTTTTTTAAAAATGTCATTAGGTTTCTCCCCTGTTCATTAAGATAATATCAGAGAAAAGCTTTGTTAAAACATTAAATCCTGTGATAGTGGGTAGGGTACCTGTATCTGAACTTGTCCATAGCTATGGAGAGGTGTGTAGGGTACTGGGGGTGGCAGGTGTAGGTATTGTGGTCATTCTCAGGCAGCAGGTCAACGTCATGCAGGAAAATACAGCTCCAGTCCTCCTCTTTCAGCGCCTCCCGCACTCCAACATTCAGCAACTTCGCTCGGTTAAACGTGGAGTTCCCTGACTGATAACACAGACTATGAGCAAATTAAGTGTACACAAATGCATTTTTCGGCAAGAATAGAACACTAATATAGCTTGACAATACGCTATGAGCTATGTTTACCCTTTCTCCCAGCTACTTCCTCTAATTACTGCTAGGAATTTTTTCTATACAATAGATGTGACAAGTCAGCGTAACAACGAACAAGAGACCTGGTGCACAATGTAAATGCCATAGTGGACCTGCTGCCGCTGCAAAAAGGGGTGCAGATGGTAGAGGAGGGCGCGGAGGTGGGTCTGGCGGTTCCGGTAGGGGACCACGATGGCTGTATGGTGCCGTGGCTCACAGTCTGGTGGACGGTAATGACCCCCTAAGGTCACCAAGGGGTTCTTCTCTTTTATCTTCTCCAGGGAGGGGGGTGAGGAGAGGTGGACAGAAACAGGACCCACTGGCAGACAGCAGGAGGAAAGCACACATGCACTTGTTGTAAAAAAAAATCTGTCCTACAACACCAAATTAAAGGAATACTATCCCTAAAAATGTAAATTATGTCATTATTTAATCACTGTTAGTCCAAAGCAGTATGACTTCTTTTGTGGAACACAAAAGGGCAATATATTGTGCATATCGGTTACTGTGCAATATCAGATATTTTTTTAATTATTCTTTTTATTTTTTAATATTGGATATTTAATTTTTCATGCAAATTTTTACATTTAGATTACATTTGCTGTCATTTAACACTCACTTAAAATTTTTTAATTTTGTATCTTTTAACCCCTAATAACTTAATATCACTGTTAAATGTCATCTTAATGGAGGACTTAAAAGTGACAGTTAAAAATAAAATGAAATAATTCAAACATAAAAATGGAAATAAACAAATCACTTTTTAAAGTGGTAAATTAACAGAGATATTTTTAAAACGGTATAATTAATGCTTTAAATTGTAGTTCAAAACAAAAAAATATGAATCATTTTTAAATAAAAAATTAATTGACATTTTAAAGAAGTGTCGGACCAAGTGTCCTCCATAATCTTTAGCATATCTCAAGATGAATATCTGTTTCTCATACTGTACATATAATAATACATTTACTTGTAGCATTTAAAATGACTGATTTTAGCTTTTAGAGGTTTTATTTTCTATTTATTTGATTTTTTTTTTATTCATTAGAAATAATTCAAACATAAAAATGGAAATAAACAAATCACTTTTTAAAGTGGTAAATTAACAGAGATATTTTTAAAACGGTATAATTAATGCTTTAAATTGTAGTTCAAAACAAAAAAATATGAATCATTTTTAAATAAAAAATTAATTGACATTTTAAAGAAGTGTCGGACCAAGTCCTCCATAATCTTTAGCATATCTCAAGATGAATATCTGTTTCTCATACTGTACATATAATAATACATTTACTTGTAGCATTTAAAATGACTGATTTTATCTTTTAGAGGTTTTATTTTCTATTTATTTGATTTTTTTTTTATTCATTTGATTTTTTATTTATATGATTTTCGTCCATAAAATGCAAAATAATTGCAGAAGGCATGGAATTCAGCATATAATATGGACAATTATGATATTTTAATGGTGATTTTATGTCCTTTTTTTGAAGCCTGGAAGTGCCAATCTGCAGTCATTGTAACTGCATGGAAAACAGCAACCAGTACATTCTTGAAAATATATTTTTTTGTGATCCACAAGAGAAAAAAGTCACAGGTATGGAAAGATAAAAGTTAGTGTAAATGATGTAAGAATCTTCATTTTTGGGTTGACTAAACTAAAAAAAAAACATCTTTGGTTTATTTAAAACTGCAATGAGACATCGTAAACAAACAAATCCAATGACTGATCAATGTCTTAAGCCTTTCAGAGTGGATTTATATCTACCCAGCAGTGGAGAGGGCAGTATACAGTCTCTGAGCTGCTGTTCTGGTACACTGGGTCCTGGATGGTGGAGCAGCAGAGAGGTGAGGTTGGTGTAGACGTCATGCGGTCGAGAGTAGTCGATCTCAGGCTCGGTGGAATGAACCAAAACAGACACTAGGCCACGAAAGCCTCCCAGGGAGAAGTAGAGGACAAACGCGAACTGGAAGCCCACTAACAGAGCCAGAGTGCAGGGGGAGTCCAGCACTCGACCACAGTACACCATTATGACATCCGACACAAAGCAGGAGTGACAGAGGAAGGGAGGATGGGAAAGTCAAATGGGATGGACAAGGGACAGATAAGAGAAGAGAGATAGAGTGAAGACAGAGCAAGAGGCATGAGAGAGGGAAGAGTGGAAGGATATCAGGGGTGATGAGGAGAAATAAAGTTAGCTCAGTGAGCTAAGGGAAGGACATCTATGGCATGTGTGGGAGTCACTGGAAAAACAGAGGAACACAAAAATCAATAGTGGCAGATCCATCACATCTAACTACAAAGGAGAACTTTAAAGTGCCAGTGTGTCCGGGATCAATCCCAGATCTCGGATTAAATCAGCAAAGTCCACACACTTTTTCGTCACTCCTGTTACACAGTACAGTACTTTAAAAAATAAAATAATACATATTATGTATGCTTGATTACAAATGAAAAAAAATGCATGATTACAAAAAATGCTTGATTATAATACAAAATAAATGAATGAATTAAAATCAGGACAATAATGGGAAAACAGGATGGAAATACATCATTCAGAGAAGGATTGTGAGTTACTTTACATGACGTTGTCAATTTGAAGATAGTTTGGATATTTTTAACAATCTTTTAAAAATCTGATATTATCATATGTGACCCCGGACCACAAACCCAGTCATAAGGGTCAATTTTTTGAGAGTTATACATCATCTGAATAAATATGCTTTCCATTGATGTATGGTTTGTTAGGATAGGACAATATTTGGCCGAGATACAATTATTTGAAAATCTGGAATCTGAGGGTGCAAAAAAATCTAAATATTGAGGAAAATCGCCTTTAAAGGTGTCCAAATTAAGTCCTTAGCAATGCATTTACTAATCAAAAATGTAAAAGTTTTGATATATTTATGGTAGCAAATTTACATAATATCTTCATGGAACATGATCTTTACTTAGGCCTAATATCCTAATGATCTTTGGCACAAAAAAAAAAACCGATAATTTTGACCCATACAATGTATTGTTGGCTATTGCTACAAATATACCCATGCGACTTATCACTGGTTTTGTGGTCCAGGGTCACATTTATCATATAAAATATCTATAATTGATGTACCTAACAGAAAAGAATGCTTCAAAGTACAATGAACCATCTAACACCACAGAAACATCATAGAATTCATATTCTATAATTGCTTATGTTTTGTGCGGTGGGGAATGATGTGATTTAGGGTCTGGCTTTTATTAGTTAAAGTAAAATTACAAGATATGACTATATAAATGAAACTAATGAAACTGAGGTTTAGTTTGATTTAAAAAAAATAGTAATAGGAAGAAATACCTGTAATGTTTCTTAATAAATTCCTTTTTTTAGATTTAGAAGTGTATGGAACACTCAAACATAGCAAAAAATAGCAACATTCACTCAAACTCAACAAAAAGTTCACTATTTTTTGATTTTGTGACAAATATTATCTCATTGTTTAAAACCTGTGAGTACAGTATGCAATTATATTAAGACATATTGATATAAAAATGTGCTGCACAACAGGAATGAGCCTTTTATCGGTGAATAACAGACTGGTATTCCATGAGTACCTGTGCTGACTGCTCATAAACACAAGATTGAGAGAGCACTGTCCTCCTCCTCCTCCTGGCCATCACAAAACATCGCGCACCTTGAGGAGACAGATAGTTCTGGACTGATTAACAAGATCTCCTGCTAACAAACCAGCTCATATTTTGCACTACGATAAACCGGAAATGTATTTATTAAGCAACCATACATGCAGCGACGACAGGCAATGAGCAATTATTGCGAAATAATTGTCAATATAACGGATAATAATAACACTTCAGGTCAAGCGTTTCCTCTGATTCACCCGGTCCACAGCGACGCTTCAAATCAGGCTCCAGCAGTAGTCGATAGCTAGGCCTTTATTTAATATTACTTACTCGATTGTGGATAATCATTCCTCTATGGCGCACGACAGAGTGTATAATATCCGCAGTCGCATTGAGCGCGTCAGACGCTCAAGGCAGAGCCACTGACAGACATGCTTGATGCGGCGACGCGCTGTCGATGGGCACTCTTCTTTGACGCAGTTACAATAAAAGCCCGAAGATACCTGTGTTAAATTCACAGTGCTGCCTTCTAGTGAGAAAACACACGACAGGCTTAATACTAGAGGCGGTTTTCATTCGCCAGGTGATCTTGTGATGAAGATACAGGCTTATAAAGCGAAATTAAATTGATGCAAAAGGGACACGATGAGTAATCATGTGGATTATATCAATCATAAGTGGTTACAACGTCGTCGTCATTTTGATTGAGAATTATATTGATTTTATAACCCGAAGTATGACGTCTGTGAAACTGATTGTGTTCAACAAAACAAACTATATCTAACCTGTTTACAAAAAAAAAAGTTCCCATAATAATAGAGGTGATTCTACTCAAACTGTTACAAACCAGGTGAGAGAATGCACACACAAAAAATGTTCTTGACAATTTTTCATAACCTTTTTTAATAAAGTAGGCTAGTTCTTTCAGATAGCTCTTCAAATTATTTTAATTAATAAAATTATCTGCTTAGTACAGGGCTGTCCAAACTCGGTCCTGGAGGGCCGGTGTCCTGCAGAGTTTAGCTCCAACTTGCCTCAACACACCTGACTGGAAGGTTCTATGCTTAGTAAGAGCTTGATTAGCTGGTAGCTGGTAGGTGTGTTTGATTAGGGTTGGAGCTAAACTCTGCAGGACACCGGCCCTCCAGGACCGAGTTTGGACAGCCCTGGGTTAGTACGAAAACAGTACAGTTTTGTTAGCTGAGAAAATGCACAGAAATTGTTCTTGACGATTTTTATAACCTGTTCAACAGAGAAAGACCTATCTTTTAAATAGCTAATTATTTTAATTAATAAAGAGATCTGGGTACCAAAACAGTCATTTGGACTTTGGATAAAGAATTTGACAAAACATGTTATCATTGAACAGTCTGGATATGGAGTAAGCACTACTTTCAATGTCATATTGGCCAAAAAATCCTGAAATTTAAATTTATGTATTTAAATTATGTCAAGTGTGCTGTAGATTGTACAGGTTTTCATGATCTGTTGTTAGCATTAAACAGTTTAATATACACTATTTATTGGTCGTGGGTTCGATTTTCAATACCGGCAGGAATTGTAGGTGGAGGGAGTAAATGAACAGCTCTCCCATTCATCCAGTAAAGCATTTGTGAGATGTCAGTTGCATAAACTGTTTAGACTAGTCTTAAAAAGTTAGTCACCTAATTAGTTTTCTTCAAGACTGGTCATAACTTTTTTAATTCAGTTATGAAAAGGTAGATTGTTCTTATTTGTATTGGAAAAGTAAGACTGATTACCCCTTGGCAACTGCTAGTTGGTCAAACTAGTTCTTAAGACACAGTCTTAACATGGTGGCTAAGTCAAGTCAAGTCAAGTCACCTTTATTCATATAGCGCTTTTAACAATACAGATTCTGTCAAAGCAACTGAACAGCATTAATTAGGAAAATAGTGTGTCAATAATGCAAAATGACAATAGTAAACACAAATTTTTCAGTTAAAGACAGTTCATCATTGGATTCAGTGATGTCAACATCCAGCTCAGTTTAAATAGTATCTTGCAATCATGTCAACGATATCGCTGGAAATGAAGTGTCCCCAACTAAGCAAGCCAGAGGTGACAGCGGCAAGGAACCAAAACTCCATCGGTGACAGAATGGAGAAAAAACCTTGGGAGAAACCAGTCTCAGTCGGGGGGCCAGTTCTCCTCTGACCAGACGAACTAGCAGTATGGAAAAATCAATTTAAGACGTAATAAAACAGACGATGAACAATATTAACAGCAATTATTATATGATGCAATCAAACTTATAGCAAAATGTGATAGTTCTGTAAGTTGTTTCAGGGTTGGCATCATCTGAGGTCATCTGAGGGGTTGGCATCATCTCTTCTCAGGTGTTCTGGATCCAGACTGAAGCTTGTGTAAATCCTAGTTACCACGGTAAGTTTATGCAACTGGCCCCAGGTACACTCACAATCTCTGTTCCAGTTCATCCCAAAGATGTTCTATCGGTTCCACACCAAACTCATCCAACAAAGTACGGGCCTGCTTTGTGCACTGGGCCACAGTCATGCTGGAATAGAAAAGGGCTTTTCCAAAACTGTTCCCACAAAGTTGGACGCATAGCATTGTCCAAAATGTTTTGGCATGCTGAAGCATTAAGAAAACTACTTCACTAGAAATAATGGGCCTAGCCCAACCCCATACCATTATCCCTCCTCCACTCAACTTTACATTTGACACAGTGCAGTCAGGCAGGTAACGGTCTTCTGGCATCTGCCAAAGCCAGACTCGCCCATCAGACTGCCAAATAGAGAGACGCGAGTCTCACAGAACAGGTTTCCACCGCTCCAGAGTTCAGTGGCATGTGCCATTCTCTTTCGCCACTCCATCCAATGCTTGCCATTATACTTGGTGATGTGAGGCTTGCATGCAGCTGCTCAGCCATAGAAACCCATTCCATGAAGCTCCCGCCACACAGTTTTGCGGTTATATTAATGCCAGTGGAAGTTTGGAACTGTGACTTTATTTGGTCTTCTGCTATTCCTAATGCTTCCACTTTCCAATTATACCACCTCCAGTTGGCTATGGAATATCTAGCAGGCATGAAATTTCATGAACTGACTTACTGCAAATTTTAATGGAGGATTTTATACATGCGGCAATTGAAACACCTGAATTCAGTAATTAAGATGTTAATTGTGTGTCTCAATACTTTTGTCCATGTATATACAGAAATGTAATCATACAAGAAGTACTCAGATACATAAATACATCTTCCACAATGTTTTAATAATTTTGTTTTATTTTTATGTATAAAATCTGGAATTTCTCTGACATGGTTTGCAACAAGTAGAGTGATCCATTGACATTGTGCTTGATAATGCAATCAATCGATATTTGGCTTTATTGAGAAAAGAGGAGACATTCTTCAAATGTTTTATTTCACTGAACTCAAACTCGTGTTAACTCAAGTTTTATTAGTCACAGCTTTCAAACCATGATGGTACACCACTTCTGCTCCTGAAGTCAAGCTGAAAGATATTTTATTGGAACATGCAGTAGTGTGCGGCGCACTAGCGTAAATGCATGCAGGGTCACTGCCAAAGAAAACATGAGAAAAACAACACGCTACAAAGAAAAGATTAGAAATTCATAGAGAAACTGTGCAAAACAACATAGCATTACAATCCTTTTCTGAATCAGCCTCGAACCCAAAAGGGCTGGGTAAGAACATGAGGCATTTGGCTGAATGAAACTCGACGACACATATTGTGTCTGTGTAAAGTTCCTCCATTGCCCTAAAGTACTCCCACAACAATAAGACCCCTGAAGCAAGGAAGCAAGGCAAATTTGGATAAAAAAGCAAGCTACAATTTTTACAAACAACACAGATACACTTATTATAAGCACCATGAATTTAACATCTAGATTTAACCTTCCCATTTCAACATTTCATCCAAACTTCACCGTTAAAAAACAACATACACTAATATGAAATAATAACAATATAACAGTACATATCAATAATATTATTATAAAGGTGTCAAGCAAACAAAGAGCCCTTAAAAAGTGAACTGATAATGTTAAGACTTTACTGTAAAACACTTAAAAAACAATTACCATTATTATAGTTTTGAGCCAGTTGTAAGAGATCAAATTAATTTTTTCTAAGTTTCCATGACTTATTTTATTGCTCCTTCCTTTTCTCTTTCAGGCCTGTTCACCTCAAGACTGATAACTATAAAGATAACGATAACTATAACTATATTAGCATTCACACCAACAGATGATAACATTCTGTTTATTATATGGATGCTGCAGTTTTGTCGTCTGCCCCTTTAAATGCTTAAGCTCTTTAAAATGTGTACTCTGATTGGCTGTCAATGTTTTTATCATTCATCTGCTGAATGAAATCGGCCTGATAGTGATTCCAACAAAAGTTATCGCTATAGTTGTGGTGCGGACTGTGCGATACTTCTAATTTTATTCTTTAAATTTCATTTCATCTTTAAAACTATATCTTTATCGTTATAGTTAACATACTTGGTGTGAACCTTTAGACTTCATAAACAAAAGATCCATCCAAAGATACATAATAAAAATGATTTGCAAACACTGTTTGTTGACACCATTTAGGCCCACTTTCTCCAAGTTTTTTTCTGTTCTGTTTCAATTCCAGCATTGTTATTTGTCCCCAAATCTCTCTTTTCATCCATTCTCTACTTCTTATAGTTTCCGAACTGAATGGCCAGTCGGTCTCCAACGCAGCGAAAGGTGGCAGGCTGTACCTCCCAGTAGTTAACCGGGTTGCCATAGAGGCTAATGCCATTATAGAAGCTCCTCTTCATGCCGAAACCCAGAGGACAGAAGTCATTAACTTCCACTCGACTTATGTTGTTGGAATGAAGGTAGACCACCTGAAAAACAAAGCAAAAATCAATGATCGTGCATGTGTGAATAGGACACATTTTGTTCATGTTTGATATCTCGCACCTGCAGGTACTTCATGTCTGGCAGACCCATGGGAACGCGGGTCAGCCGGTTGTTTTCCAAATGCAGCTCCCTGAGATTAGGGACGTATGATAGGCTGCCCTTCTCAATCATCCGGATGTGGTTGAAACCCAGACCCAATCTGGCAAACAAGTGCAAGCACAACAATGAATAAGCAACATACAATAGATGGGCCACACACATTGTGACAGGCATCTAGTGAGGTGGAAATACAATAGACTGGAAACACTGTGAACAGGCACTGGGTCAACTGCAGCCCCGCAGGACAAGCTGCACTATAAAAATCCAGCACATGCAGGGTCTTTCTGCAAAAAGAGATTTGCATGAGTTAGACCAATATCAGGGTTATTATTTCACTATCATTTGGATTTTTAATATCAGTTTAGTTTAAGTTTGCTTTAATGATACATAATGAAAATTATTTTTGTTTTATTTAAATTCCTTAATGTTTTCATCCCATATAAGATACAAATTGTGCATGAAATACAATAAATAAATAATACCAACAAAATTATTAAAGTCATTTGTCAAGTTTACTGTATATCAAAACAGCTGCACTTTAATTAAATGTGCCATTGCGGGTACATTTAGCAGTAAATTTGTAACTGCCATCACTCAGGCATCTCTAGGGCATCTATGATTCAGCACCGTCAGATGGCCCACACAGGAGAGCAAGTCACTGGATTTGCCAAAGTTAACAAATTCATGCCGTATAATCTTTTATATATAGATACAAATTTAGTTTGAGGCCATTTGGATTGACCATATGAGAATTAATTGTTTTGTGTTGTCTTTGCATTCTTCCATGGCTTAACTTGACTGCTGAACGCTGGGTTATTATTGTGATTTCAGACCAATCATCATGAAATAGTGGTAGGTTGTATTACATGTGTTACATTGTGTTACATCAGACAATCCCACTCTGCCTAGTTACTAGTATTTGATCAGAGTCCACATTTTTCGAGTCCAAGACATTAACCAATTGAGTTTTGGTGGGAGACATTTATGTCTTGTTAATAATGTCTTGTTTTCTTTATTTTATTTTGTGACTTATTTTTTGTATCTTTCATATTACACATGATTTGGTTTTGGCTTAGTCCAAATGTCCGAGTATGTGTCGAATTCGAGTATGAGTCTGCCCAAGTGCATCCGAATTCATTCATAATTCCAGTCCGAGTCCATGTACCCCAACTCTACTAAAGTCAGACCATCTAGAATTTACTAAAAATGCAACAAAAAAAAAAACACTACTTTCTCTGTAGTGTTATTTGTTATTAGTTTGTTATAATGTACACTTCAATTTAATTTTAGTTTTAGTTTTCTAAAACATCCATTTTCTTAATTTATTTCAAAAATTTGCTTCATTGCAAGCTTTTGTCAGCACAATAGCTTTAGTTAACAACACTTTTGAGATTACACAACTTAAACTGCCAGTTGTGATTTTTGTGCCATTTAAAGGATAATCCTTGATTCGGAGTGAAATGACTGCAGCTGTTTTCAGTAAAAATAAAGAGATTGCACAGAATAATAGATTTTCAGGAGCCTAAGATGACAAACATAGGCTATAATCACGTATAATTGCTAACAAGTTGAACTGTGTATTTTGTATAAAAAGATTTTGTCTCTACTAAACTAAACTTACAGTAAACATTTTGTTTTTTTAATGTTTAATGTTTTAATGTTTTTTAAAAAGGTGGCGCTGTTGCTTTATAGCGAGTCTACAGACAGGGACAAGGCATGTTGTGTGTTGAAGTGCAGGAGAGTCATGAGTGGCTTCACCTGTACAGGTGTTTATAGCGGCTCAGGTCCTCTAGTTCAATGGCCTGGATCTGGTTATTGTCCAAGTGGAGCTCGTGAAGACTGTCAGGGAGGTCTGGAAGGAGAGGAACATTCATCATTATATAATTGGAAGTAGCACCACATCTCTGCTCTTAACATTAACATTAAAGCTCATGCAAATTGTGATTTATGTCCAAAGATATTCCTAAAGCTCATTCAAGTGAGAAACTGCACAGAGTAATTATCCAAATGTTCTTTCTGACAATAAATACGAGAAAAATGTTCACTCTTTAATGACTTTTATGATTATTCTAAAGAATCACCTTTTGGTATTCCAGTGAGTTTGGACTCAGAGACGCGCAGGTAGTTGAGTTTCAGGCCTTTAAAAGCTCCAGGCTCAAAGCCGCTGTTCTGAATAGGGTTTCCGCCCATCTCTATAAGAAGCATTCAACATCAGACAGAATATCCCATCACAAAAACCAGCAGGCTCCATCTAAAAAAGGAAATGGTTTGGTCAGACTGTAACCTCTATACCACATAATGGCGAGCGCGCATACAAACCAATGCAGTTCATGCTGCCCAGACCAGAGAACGTTCCTTCTGCAACCTTCTTAATACGGTTGTCATGAATGCGCAGCTCCACCAGGGATGGGGGAAGGTTCTTGGGTACCACTGTCAGGAGGTTACGGGAAAAATAAAGCTTTTTTAAGTGTAGGAGGGGTGCGAAGGTTCGCGGGTGGACTTTGGAGATCTTGTTGTTGACTAGTGACAGAGCCTGGCGGGAGACAGGAGGACGTTAGCATTTGGTTCATAGAAAGTCATGAAGACATGATTAATAATAACTTGACCATGAGCATTAAATATGTACACAAAATTAATGACTTATAAATGATGTTATAACTTAATGTCTTGTTCTTTTTTTCTTCTTCTTCTTCTTTTACAGGCCATGTCAAATATTGTGTTTGGTGAGAGAGGCTGAGTAAATATTAGGGATAAATATTGGGGATAATATGAGTTCTAAGAAGGGAACTAAAACATTCAGTTTGGCACCGGCGTGTGTTTCCCGAACTACAGGAGCATTCTTCTTCAGAGACTTGAACTGTTTGAACATCCTGTCAGGCTGTTTTGCACAGAGTGCCAAACGTAAAGTACTGCGTGCTGTAAACGACAGACCAATTTTTCAAAGAGTTAGCCAAAACATGCTTGTCTCGTTGTTTCTTATGTAAAATGTATAAAATAAAAATGTAAATATTCAATCTAAATGAACATCTAAATCATCTAAATACAGCATTAAAGTAAATAGCGACATATTTAGCTAATATGGAACTTGATGGGCTGCATCAGCCAACGGCGAGTAAAAAAAAACGAAAAATTAAGCTCTGAGACTGGAACACATCAGTGAACAGCACAAGAAACCATCCATAAATTTACAGTATAATGAACTGTATTTTACATTCAGCCTCATCTATATGTATTTTTCTCACTTATCCCATTATTAAAGGGTTAGTTCACCCAAAAATGAACATTCTGTCATTAATTACTCACCCTCATGTTGTTCCAAACCTGTAAGACCTTCGTTCATCTTCGGAACACAAATTAAGATTTTTGATGAAATCCGAGAGCTTTCTGACCCTGCATAGACAGTAACTACCATGTTCAAGACACAGAAAGGTAGTAAGGACATCATTAAAACAGTTCATGTAACATCAGACGTTCAACCGTAATTTTCTGAAGCTACGAGAATACTTTTTATGTGCAAAGAAAACAAAAGTAACGACTTTATTCAACAATATTTTGTCTTCCGTTTCAGTGTACCATAAATAAAATTAAGGTTGAACCACTGATGTCACATGGATTATTTTAATAATGTCCTTACTACCTTTCTGGGTCTTGAACGTGGTAGTTGTGTTACTGTCTATGCAGGGTCAGAAAGCTCTCGGATTTCATCAAAAATATCTTAATTTGGGTTTTGAAGATGAACAAAGGTCTTATGGGTTTGGAATAACATGAGGGTGAGTAATTAATGACAGAATTTTCATTTTTGGGTGACCTATCCCTTTTAAAGAGGAGTAGAATTTACTGCTTGACCTTCACCCTCTCCAGTTCTCATTTCTTTGATCACCATCAGTGTCTTACATAGAGGTTTGGAAGTCCTTTGAAGTCATTCTCCTTCAGCTCTGTGATGCGGTTGTTCTGCAGGTCTAAGAGTTTGGTGTCTCTGGGAATTTCCTTTGGCACTACAATCAAACCTAAACATGAAGACAAAATGTTTACAGCTAATTTAAAGCTTGTAGGATATAGAGCATACAGATCTGTATACAAATGTCTGAACAGAGAGACCATTAGTTCACCATCTGGTCTGGATTTCCCCATGACAGGGCTTTTTATTCGACATCAAAATAACAGAATTAAATAGTGAATACAATTGAAGATCTTAACAATTACAACATGTCTTTGACAAGATATTTAATTAGATATAAAACAGTTATTGTGGCCAAATGAGTACTTATTGGGCATTTTAAATTCTGTGTCAGGTTTATATTTGCATTAGTTTATCTTTATATTAGAGGCGGATGACCAGAGGATGTTCAGCCAGCACTTTAAAAATCATTTGGGTTATTTTGCCACACATGGACCACATCACAAAACTATATGTAAACTCCAGCAGAACCACATCAAAGCACAAATCCAGCATTGTGTCTGTTTTAACGGTAAAGTGTCCAGGATTCTAAATCAGGCCAATGATTCATGATGATTTCCAGCAGAGCCCAATAATTTATACTAGGCTGGGTTCAACCTCTGTTGCCTTCCAGCCATTTATAATGTTCTTGAGAACCACAACTGCCAAGCAGTCTAGCTTCCAGCAGGAGCAAAAAGTGAAATCATTGAGATATTAATCATATCAAAGGAATATATTGATATGTTTTGGATTAAATAATAAAAACGTAATCTCTACAGACAGCATATGTGGCCTGCAGTCAATTACCACAGAAAATCACTTTGACTTGTTTTTCATTAGTGAAAAAAATACTTCTGGATACCTTAATCAACTCAGCATTTTCACAGAAAAGACTTTTGTGTTTCTGTGTGTCATAGAGTTTAATATGCTCCTTATTCAGATCTAGGGAACTGCCATCATCACATTAGCTTTGCATTTTTTTGTTTAAAATATACATTTTTGCAAATGTCAAGTGAACCTGGGGCGATTTACATTCACAATGTACACTGAACACAAACTTTGATGCCAAGTGCCGCATACTTTTTATAGGGAACATATCAGCATGCTATGATATCAGTCTTATACACTGTAGAACATGGAAAACAGAATGTTTATAGTAAATTGTTTTTAAAATAAATTAATACTTTTATTCAGCAAGGATGCATTAAATTAATCAAAAGTGACTGACACGTTAAGACATGTTTAATGTCACAAAAGATTTCTACAGTATGTAAAATAAATGCTGTCATTTTGAACTTTCTATTTCTTAAAAAAAAATGTTTGGGGAAAATGTATCATATTTTCCACAAAATATAAAGCATCACAACTGTTTTCAACATTGAAAATAATAAGACTTGTCAAATCAACATATCAGAATGATTTCTGAGGGATCATATGGCACTGAAGAATGAATTGCTGCTATAAATTCAGCTTTGCATCATAGGAATAAAGTACATTTTAAAATATTCAAATAGAAAATAGTTACTTTAAATTGTAATCATATTTCACACAATTACACAGTTTTCCCTGTATTTTTAAACAAATAAATTATGCAGACTTTGCATCGTAATTTAATGCAAATTTATAATCAAGCACTGAATAGAGCACCCATTAACAATTTGATTAACCAACAGAACTGTTTTTGGGTTTAAGGGGGATAAAATACTCCATTATAGTATAGCAGAAAATCACATATGAGCAATAAATATTATTTTAAAACTTAATTTCTAAGAATTATAATAATTTTAATCATTTAATCATTTTGGGGTTTTTTTCAAAACAAAAAACTAAAGAAATGATCTGATAGAATATCTTGAGTTCAAGCCATTTTAAGCCAATATACTATAAGTTCAAGTCAAAGCTCTTTCCTGTTTTCCTTTCACAATAGTTCTTCCAAGCCATCTGCCCACCTGCCACTCAAACCAACAAGTGCTCAGTGACTTTAACCAGTCGACCGCTAACAAACACAATGCCAAACCCCAGAGCGCAGCACATCGCAGCCCCCCAACCACAGCTCTGCACACATCTACACCCCCTAGTAGGAACATATTTTATGATGAAGGCACATAACCACCTAAATATATACACGATTATAAACATCTGCTATGAATAAGCATCACCATCAATTCAATTACAGCCTACATGGCAGAATAACTTCCAGATACGAAAGAAAATAAAAGAGTGCAGTGGACAGATCAATGTATTACAAGTAAACCTTCATCACAGTGGGAGGAAGCATAGAAAGAACCGCCTAAAGCAAGGTCTGTATTTTTCGATTTTTATATCAAATCCACAAGCATAAACAAAGATGCAATGACATTTTCCGAAAACAAAATCACTTGCAAAGACCAAAACACATGGCATAAAGCATTCATGCACATATGCAAACATAGTCAGACACGCACAAACTAAAAAGCAATACATATAATTAAAATAATAATAACTCAGAATTCCATTGTCAGTTCAATGGCTGTAAATGTTCTATGAGGATCATAACTTGAGCAAACTTGGCGGGAGAATGAAAGAGAGTGTGTATCCGTAAGTATGACTATAGAATTACAGCGGAGCTTCAATAGGTGCTGTTGGTGCCATGCAGAAAAAATACACAAACTGGCTACATTTTGTCAGAATTATAAGGTTTTATACAATTTCTGGAGACAGGCCTTCTCACTTTCTCACATACTAAAAAATCAAGCTCCACCACTGCTTCATGGCTGCACACATACATGGTGGTTGGTTGGTTGGTTTGTTTGTTTTGTGTTGATATAATTCTTGTACATATGTTTGTCCATCTGCAGTTTATGTATTTAGGTTTGGAAACTGAGTGATCGCTGAAAAGAATAACATTCATTTGAATGACAAAAAAGTTCCTACAAGGTGAGAGTAAATGGTTTAACCAATCAGTTCAGTTAATGGTTTCCTCTTTTATTGTAGGTCTGTTATTTCCTATTCGTGGAAAAGAAAACAAGACCTTCTAAAAGCAATCACAATGAAATGAAGTGGCCCCTGTAAAAAAAAAAAAAAAACTTAAATTTTAGGCCTAAATTACCACTTTTGTGGATGTACTGCTGACGAGACATAACCCAGGACTATTTCCGGCCTGCTGAAATAAACAAACACTCATCAAAGACTTCCAAATCTTCATCACTTGTCTTTCTCCCTCGCACATTCCTTTTCACTTTCCCTGTCTATCTCTCTCACACTGTCTTCCTGTAAAACAACCCGTGTGTGTCATAAAAACAACACAGAACCCCTCTTACAGCTCAATGGAAAATTACACAGGCATTTTTAACTGTTTCCCATTCAAGCCCCAGTTTTCTGAGAGACTAAACTACAACAAACAGACATGTTCATAAACGACTGTTTTTGCCTGTTTGGATGAGGGCTCAATCTCTATAAGAGGTCTCTATAAGATGCTTTTAATATTGAATTGAAACAATTTAAAGATTTGATGATTTATTGTACAGTTAAAGTAAATATGTTTAAAGATTATTAGCCCATTCACACCAAGAACAATATTATATTATATATTAGATATATGCTAGAAGGTAACTGTAACACTGACTATATTAGTGCCCACACCAATAGACAATCCTTCCTTTTATTATAAGCCTGCGTTGCTGGTTTGTCATCTGCCACTTTAAATGTTCAAGGATTCTGATTGGATGTCAAAGTGTTTATCGTTCATCAAATAGAAAAATCATTCTCAAAGTGATTCCAACAATGTCATTTCACTGTGTCATTACTGTTACACACAGACATGATAGATAGACAGACAGACAGACAGACAGACAGACAGACAGATAGAAAGATAGATAGATAGATAGATAGATAGATAGATAGATAGATAGATAGATAGATAGATAGATAGATAGATAGATAGATAGATAGATAGATACTCACTTAGGTCTGAGCATTGCACCACATTGAGTTGACAATGGCAACCAAAGGGGCATAAAGACACATCCGGCGGCAGCTCCTCCACAGCTGAACCCTCTTCATCTCTCATCATTACCGTCGTCAGATCCCCCACATCTCCATCCATAGCAAAGTCCCAGAATCCTCTCTGCTCAAAGGGCAGAGCCAATGAGGGAGCAGTCAGGCTGCAGACATTGAGCAGCAGAAGCAGGAAAGAGCGGCAGGAGATCATCGCTGAGATACAGAGACTCACACACACAGACCTGAGTGAGGAAGAGACAAAAAGAGATTTAATCATTGTTTATTTCATTTGACATAACTGTTTTTATATGTAACTGTGTATATCCTTTTCTGAGTGTGACACACACAGAGCCTTTAGTTTGTTTGGAGCTGAATGTGTTAATTACGCAAAGGACAATGTTAATAAGACTCTATGTCCTTTCTTCAAGTTCAGCCCACAACCCATTTCCTCAGTTCTGTTTATAATAATTATAACAGATTTCACAAAGTACATCAAAGGAACAGGATGGAACTAGGGTGTTATTTGGGGGTTTGGGAAAATATTGTAACATTGCCATCTGAATATGAATACATCATTCAGCACTGGACATGCCCTTCCTGAGAAACACTAAAAGCTTTAACATGGACATGTAAACATTACTCAAAAGTACTAAAAGTACTATTACTCAAACGCGCATAAAGAAGTTTGTTTGATGTTAAAAACATTTTTTGGTATCATCTTCTGACATTTAAAAAAAATTAAGCGAAGGGGAAACTAAAGAGACAAGCGGTGAGTCTGTCTGTAGGACAGGTCTGGTCAGACGGTGTGTGGTGGTGGAAAAACTCAAACTGGCCTTCTTAAAACATATCTTAAAACAAGCCATTCATTAGACAGGAAGGAGGTAGGAGGGGATATTTCTGACAGTCCCTGTTTGTGTGTGTGACTAAAAGGGTGGGGAGCCACTCATGATGTAATTTCTCAATGTCTTCAGCTGAGTCCTGTGACGTCACCAGACATTTTGGGGCTAAGATGTGGTTAAGGATCTGGGGTCCGCAGAACCCACCAGAGGACCATGCTTATACCCTAAACATGGGCCTGTAACCTAAACCGCAAACCCTGTTCAGCCACATACCCCCCACCTGTCAGTTTCTGACTTAACCTTGGCCCGTGTGTTGAAACTGATCTAACCGAGGCCTAAAATTGAAGCCAACACCTGTTCTAAACCCAAATCAACACCCTAAAGCCAAACTGCATCCTGAACTATAACTCTGAATCAATACCTCACACTGAATGTGATATCTCAAGCAACATAACATTACAATTATCCTTTAAATCCAACCAGCTGGGGAAAGTATTTCAGTAAATCTCACTGCCATCATAGATGATTGTCTTCACAAGTGAGTCACAACACTTTAATCCATAGTATTCCCTATGCATGCTGGGAAGAAACACACGTGGATGAGTGAGAGGAGCCAGATGTCAGAGAATGTCATGTTTCCCAAGAGAGAAACTCAATGTCTTGCCGTCACAATTTACAGCCACATTCAAATATGTTCCCTCAACAACATAAGTCAAAAGTGAAGATTGAAAAGGTATGAAAAGAGTTCAAAATCCCAGATACTCAATAAAATGGAAATAAACAGTTTCAATTACTGGATCAAATGGGAAAAAAACTACCCAGAAGAATATTTTTACACAAAAGTAGCTCATTTAAATTTCTTTAAACTTTGTCTTTTGTGTTTGTCCTCAACTTTAAGAGAAATACTAGATACAACTAAGACAGTAAGATTACAATATAATTATAATATATACAATATAATATATTATATATTTTCTATCCTATGAATCCAAGAAGACCTCCCATGGACTTTATGAAGTTAGATCATGTCTGCTGTAACAACACTACAGCAGGCATAATATAATATAATATAATATAATGTATTTTTATTCTATGCATCCAACTTATTTTTTTGTTTATTTCTAAGTTAGATTATATCTGTTATAACATTTGTCATTCAAAGATGAACAATGAATTGAGGGACACCTATAGGTAAAAAAAACCTAGCCTCAGTTCCTATTTATGTGTAGCAAACTCACAGTAAAGACTCTCATTAAGCTTAGAGGGATCCCACACAAACGTTGTTCATGTAAATGTGTCCGTTGAGTCCTTTGTGTCTCTATATAGTAATGAGCATGGATGCTTTTGCCGTTCCCCTTGGCTACTCCTCAATCATCTTCTGTGAACATTCATACTTGTTGTCTAGGTCTGAGGCAACATATTTCAAAGATATTTGAAATGACTACAAACAGACATTTACAATAAAAATTTGTCATGGTGCCTGACAGTTCCCAGAGCTGACCATATGTCGCTGATCCAAACATTTGCTAAATATCAGTTCATCCAGGGTAGGCATTAAAGCCTAAAGTATCCCATTCTTCATCCTGACATGCCAACATCTATGTGTGTTCCTCTCATATCATCTGCCCATCTTTCACTTTAAAGTCAAACACGTGGGAAAGCGACAGCCGTTTTTTATGCTGCTGACCTGGAATAAAAGCAAACAGGAAAGAAAATTTACCCATTTATAAATATAGCGGCTAAATTATACTGCGCTCCCCAAAAAAGGTTTGGTTTGGACTGGACAGAGGAATGCGAGGAGAGGGCCGAGGCACAAATACACACAGGTCCTTGCATCCTGCTCTTCACGGAAGAGTTTGAAAACTATATGTGTTATTTATGAACACAAGCATCATAATACGGGTAAGTATATGTGTCGTTTTTATGGGATAAAATACTGTTCCAAGTAGAAACTCTTTAATTAGAAGCTGCTCAACAAAACAAGGTGTCTTGAGTGGGATCTCAAAAGTTATGTTCGCACATCAGCAGAATACAGCTGTGCTGTAGTGCTAAATACAGCTATGCAGGCCGCCATACTGGGAATAATAGTGTCACAAATGCAACAGAAAGTGTCTTAGCATCATTACAATCTAGTTGGGAAAACTTTGTCTATTTCATTTTGTTAAAATGCGTGCCAGAGTGTCAAAAATATATTCTAAGAATATTTAGCAAATGTTCCTATTAAGTTATTTCTAAAAGTTATTTCTAAATGATTTCTTAGCATATAGAACATCCTGTTTTTTATATTTAAAAAAAATGTTATGCAAAAATTAAGGAAGCGTCCCATTTTATATTGTAAACATTATGGAACTCTAACTTTTTAATGTACTCTGAGCATTCTGAAACAAGTAGTAACATTTTTAAAAGATGCGAATGTGCATCTAAAACGTTTCCGAGAAAAAAAAACATTCCATGAATGATGCATGACATTTCTGTGCTAATGTTTTGAGAACATTATTAAGACCTGATAACAATGACCTAACATTCTGTTAATGTTCCTGGAAGAATGTTTGTTCACAACTTTAAGAGAACCTTGCCTCAAAGTTAGCCAAAGTTCTGAGAATGTTACCTGTTAGCTGGGAATGTGATTCGTGAACAAATGACTCTTAAAGGGGACATTGGATGCTCATTTTCCACAAGCTGTTATGATACTTTAGGGTTTCCATGAAAAGTCTGTAACATACTTTGGTTAAAATACCTCAAAGTTTTTGTAAAACAACACCCTTTTAACCTTCAAAAACAGCTATGTTCACAGAAAGCCATATCAGTGCATGTCCCTTAAAATGATAATGAGCTACTGCTCATAACAAACCGGCTGCGTCTTGTCTTTTAAATGTATTAGCTTTTCTGAGCTGGCAGACACGCCAGAACTAAATGCAAAAAAGCTAAAAAGAAAAAATGTGAAAATTTCATTTGATGTCCCCTTTAAGAACCACTTGTTTATAATGAGTAAGGATTCACAAAACAACCTCAAACTCATTGGAGAGTGAATCACTTATCCACTCAGTCAACTGATTAGTTCAGAGTCGTTACTGATTAAACTGACTTCATCACTGAAGAGTCATTTTGATTCAAAGTCTGATTCAAAATTAACCAGAGCCATAACTGTGACTTATAATTTAGTGAGACTTACTTACTAAAGATCTGAGTCAGACCTGTTAGTAAATATACTTGTGATCCCAAACAGTGACTGCATGAAAGCAGCCCAATAAGCAAAAGCCACACACATCTGATGCCTTTGACAAAGAAAAACACAAACTTTAGCTGAAACAAAGATAATCTTATCCCACGGCCTTAGCCAAATACATCAGTGGACAACCCAAAGCTCATAGCACTTATCACTCCAGTCTAAAGACACAGTCCTCTCCAGAGCGGTGACTTGAGGAATGGTATGGCCTTAGACATAACAACTGCTTCTGCTGCTAATTACACAGTACAGCAGACAGCTATTTCTATCACTCAAAATGTCACATGAACATGCAAGAGAAATTAAAGGGGTCATATGATGCGAATTCAAGTTTTCCTTTCTCTTTGGAGTGTTACAAGCTCTTGGTGCATAAAGAAGATCTGTAAAGTTGCAAAAACTAAAGTCTCAAAGAGATAATCTTTATAAGAGTCAACCACGTCTACCTAAAACAGCTCATTCTAACACGCCCCCACATATCTACGTCACTATGTGGAAATATTAGCATAATGCCACCCAAATGTGCAAGCAAATAAAGAAGGCGTGGTTTCAGGAACAGCAGTCGTGTTGATGCAGCCATGTCAGGGAGACGCTGTGTTTCAGTGCGAAAGCAAAAGCACTTTATTTGGCCTTCCGGAAGTAGATGCATTTAGGAATCATTGGTTAAGATTTATTTACAACAGAACAGCACAACCCAGATGTTCGAATTTGTGCAACGCATTTTATGGACGACAGTTTTTTTAACCTAGAAGAGTACAAGGCTGGCTGTGCACAAAGGCTATTTCTAAAAAAAAAAAAAAAGGGGGTCAATTCCGACTTTGCTATGACAATCTGGCGCTTCTGAATCAGCGACTGTAAGTATATTTTGTTATTAGTTTAAGTATTTGCTGTTGACTGTTCAAATGCGGAGTTTTGCACAGCGCAGAGTAACACGTTGTGTGTGTGTGTGTGTGTGTGTGTGTG